CATCTTGGTGTCTATCGCGGGATGGTCTGGTCAAGCACGAAATATTTCGTTTTGTCCGTATCTTGGTGTGTATTACTGGACATACTTTAAGTCAGGTCTGAATGACAGCGCAAAGGGGGGCGACTTGTCAGGGGCGCGAGGCACGCGGGGGAAGAGGCGAAGAGAATGCCCGGCAGCAAAGCGGCTCTCATTTCTGCAAGCCGCTGATCAAATGCCTCTCTCTTTCCACCAAAGTGCACGGATAGTTGCTCAGCCAACCCCAAATGCCACGTCGAATGTTACAATGTGGAACCGCAAACGAGGTGTCTTTTCTTGACGCCATGAGCAGCTGAATGTGTGTTGAACACGGTGTAGATATGATAGTTTATCTCCGCTTTATCTTGTTTCTCTCTACTCGGAGGTTTTGCAATATCAGCCTGTCAAACTACCCTTTAGTTTTCCATTTTTTCATAATTTTCTTTATTTAGAATCGCTTTTCTTAGCTCACCGTCTCAAACGTAATGTTTGTGGGCGACATAAGAACTAAGACGTATCGGCGTCCATTGCAATCGACACATGGGCCACTTAAACGTGTCGAAGCAACGGTCTTAATTTTGTTAATATGAGTACTGTTATTATAGCAACACGTAGAGTTTTACAGTAAGCAGAAGAGGCGGTTGATAAGGATTCCCATATACCTAGAACCACATCAGACATGTTGCGTGCAACGAACTACAGAAAACCAACAGAAGGCATCTTTCGTCTGCTATTCTCGCATATGTTTTAAACCAACCCATCTTAACGACTATTCGGTCATACAATCTCTCCATTAAGCGCTAAGGCCATTTAGTTTCTAGTTAAAATATCACCACCGGCAACATTGTACAATTTAACAGACTGGTTAGGAGTCTCCAAGAGTACGCGTGTTCCCCTTTCTCGCTTGATCTCCAGAGCAATATAGCCTACCATTGCCGTTAAAAAGTATTTTTTTGATTCCGTGAGAGATATAGCATGAAAAGTATATCTGAGGGAAGGACTAATGTTTACAAATATCTCATCGACGGTTTTAACAAAGGTTTTTAAAGAAAAGTATGTAATTACCCTGGTTTCTTAATCTAGAGTTAACTTACCCTTCTCAACTTTCCAAACGATTGCGTGCATCTCTTTCTCTCTCTCTCTCTCTCTCTCATGTGTGTGTGTGTGTGTGTGTGTGTGTGTGTGTGTTTAGTTCATCTTTATTTTGTAACAAACTAATTTTTCTGCAACAAAACAGACTTAAATAACTTGTGAAATATGATTAAAGATTTGTAAAAGATAAATTATGATAGTTGTAATCTTCCCAATGCGATGACGATAAGATCCTTCATTACATATTAGGTATATTAAAGGCGTATACAGCTCATCACAGTGAGTTTTTCATCAGTCTTATCATCTGATACACGTATGTAGTCCTAATGAGCAATGGATTTCAAAAGAAATTTGTGACTATGTTCAAAGATGTGGCTAGGGGGTTAATTTTTGTCCATGATACTTGTGTGTCTGCGTGTGTGTGTGTGTGTGTGTGTGTGCGTGTGTCTGCGTGTGTGTGTGTGTGTGTGTGTGTGTTTGTGTATTTGTACATGAGCGTACATGTGTGCGTGTGCGGGTTTGTGAATGGGGCTCATGTTTAAATCGAGAACTGTAAATAATTAGTGCTATATGCATGTAGCTCGTCAAGTTTTCAAAGCAGGTAAGCTGTTTACGAAAGACACAACACGAAAAGACCCCAATGGGAAGGGATTGGACACCCTCAGATATCAAAACACTTGAATGCAGCGCTTTGAATGGGTGGAGACCACTCCCATGGACAAAGCATGGTTAAACCTCAACAATTAAAATATTTTATTTTTAAAAATGCACTCCTTGCAATGCTACTCCTTTCTTACGCACACTGCCTCGTTGTATTTTACGACAATCAAAGCTTTCTGGGAAATCGCATGCTGCCTTCACCCACTACTATCTCCAAATGTGCTAGTGTGACAAATCTAGGAATTTTATCAACTTCGTCTATAGATTAATATTTCCGCTCGCAGCTGGTGTAAGGATACATGCGACTATGGAAAACAATGTGCGTGTGTTTGTGTCACTTATTTGTCTTCGACGTACTGTTACATTGGAAAGTATATGTATAAAAGTCACTGCTACATAAGACAATAAAAACATTCAATTGATTTTGTTTTCTGTCTATAAAACAAAGAGCTTTTATACAATTTGACTGCTCTACCGTAGTTTATTGCTTTGGGTAAGCATTGCCAAACCCTATTTTCAAACCTAAAATGCAACAAGGCACCCAGATTCACGAAATTAATATTTCACCTTGAAATAGTATTTAGTTTTGACTTTTTTTGAAGAGACATGTAGGTGATTAGAATGTTAATCATACATATCTTAGCTGGGTCATTCCACCAAAAAGTGAACATTTGAATCACTTCAGTTTGATAACAATTAACTTGTCCTTTAATTTTCATATTGTTAGACAGAAAATTGATTCTTTATGTTGCCCCTGGCCTGTCAGCTTATCAAAGAGGAGTTGCTACAATTATTAAGCATTTTCTGCTGTAACGCCCCTTTGTGTTGCCTTTTGTAAGACGACCACTCGGTTTGTAGAGTCCTGTTTTAATGTTTTTAGGAATTAAAAATCATGAACTAAACAATTTCGGTTTAACACTGTTTATCTCTTTGAAGTGGTGACTTGATCACAGAAAACAGGCAAAATCGTAATGCATTAAGATGTATAATAATAGGTTACGAGCACTCGATTGCGAGTGTGTGCAATTAATGTCGTGTATGGAGGCACTTGAAGCTCACAATTCGCAAGCCTCTTTTACTCCTTAATACGTTTGCAACACATTCGCAATGATTGTGAAATTAGGTCAAGATAGGGTCAAGGCCATAGCAAGGTCAAATTAGGGTCAGTTGAAGGTTATGCATCCGGGGAATTGTATTTATAATGGTGCATGCCTCTTGTGTGTAAATACTTGTGGATTTCAATGATTCACAAAGTAATTTGACACGCATAACTTGAACTGAAGTTAGATGATTATATCGCAAAAAAAATATAAATATCATTAACAAAATCAAGGCTAGATTCGAAACGACGGCTATCAATCCAGCTTAAAAAAATTCAGAAAACTGGTGTCAGAAAACTACCATTATGCCGTTAGTCATGGTAAGCAGATGCCCGAACGATAAGTTCTGTTGTATCTATCCGCCAAATTTTTTATGCACGAACATCAGTTATAATCATATGCAAATGAGTGTTCTGTATTTGTTCAATATATTGTTTATCTATTGTATATCTATATAACTGAAGACTGGTTATTTTCGATTTCCACTGGTTATGATGCGCAATGTCTTTTTTTACTACATCATGTTACAGTTTATATGAAGATCTTAAGGGTTTAGCTCGTTCAAGCTCCTTTCTTTGGCTTCCAACTCACTTAGCCTATTTGTCAATTCTTTTAACAGTCAAGATAAAGTATAAAACACATGATTAGTTACTTCTACAATTAAAAAAATCAGTCAAGATTTTATCTTTCTCCCCCCACCTTCGTTCCTCTTTCTCCTCTCATCATCAACTGTAAGCCTGTTAGTTTTAAAAATGCATATAAGTACACTCTACGCTGTACTTTTTCACCTTAATTTCGAACTGACTAAATGAAAACATCTAAAAAAAGACCCTTGCTCGCCGCCATAGTCGCGTTGTCCTCAAAAACCGCAAGTTAGCCGTAAATTGAAATCGTGCCAAAGAATGAAAATACGTGATTATGGCCAGGTAAATTATTGATTTCGTCCCTGTCGCATGCAAATAAACATTTTGTTACGACCTCCTCCATTACCTCCCTTCTCAAGGCCACTGAATCCCTGCACCCGGGATCTCGGCGGCGACGTCGATGTGTGACGTCAGCGTCATATGTAGCGCCTTAGACCCTCGTTCCGTTTTCGGCTCACGCACGTGAAGGAGAACCATAATTATGCAAGGCTTATTTCCAACGAGTCTTGGCTTACTTGTTTTAGCTCGTTTTTTAATTAGGTTCCTACAAACCATTAAAACAGCCTATTAATAGGCTTTGGCCCGAGAGGAAAGGGCTGTAACCAGATCTGCTCCCAAACAGATGTACTTCCCAGGTGTTGGAGGTCTTAGATCGCGCCTGGCTTCACTATTGAGTACAGGGAGGAAAAAACATCGCGAAACGAGCTTAATGAAAACTAATGGCTGCGAGAATGTTTTATGATAGTCATGTTATGAACTCGAGTCGTTTGTGTTTGAGAAGCGATTCCCAGCAATTACTGGGGGTTAATTTTAGCCTGGAACTCTGGACTGGGACTGTGTGGGTTTCTCGGTGTTTTTTCGCGGAAACTTGAAAACTTATAATCGTTTCATCTTAGCTGGTTCGTATCAAATGCGTTCAACCCCGCAGTGCTTCACACCATATATCACAGCCACGTAACTGATTGGTTCTTGACATCTATCTCATGCCCATGAGACCATTACGTTCAGAACACCCTTATCCAGTATCTCTGGCGTCCAGTAACCTCTTAACATCCGACGCATTTTATCAGTTTTTAGAACTCCAAGAAGACGAGATTTCCCTAACACAGAGAGGGCCATAAACAAGGTGCGTTAATTGGATAACTTTGGCAATGGCTGTAGAAAAGAATTCCCCGCGTCTGCCGAATTGATCGTTATTGATATAAATCTTCCTCACCTGTGTAAACATTTAGATAGAGTGATTTACTAGAATATAAATACATAGAACATAGGGTGATTTATATATATACTTTAACGCGGATGCAGGTATATCCGGAAAGATTTGTTCTAGGTGTGTGTGCCATAGCCAGAGGTTTTGTTCTGATCCTGCCTGCGGCAAGAACACTCTTTTTTTTTTCTTCGCATACATACTTCCACGGCCCCTCTCATTTCAGTTAACCAAGTGCACATATTTGCTCTTTGAGCTGTTTTTGTGTTTTATTTTGTTTCAAGTTATGTACAGCCGTAATAACAATGTGATTCTAGTTATGCTACGTGCTAGGGCGAAAGGAAACGATTTGTTTCTTGTTAGACAAAGGTTTGAGAACAGTTGGAATTGGCAATTGCTTTTTTATTAGATTAGATTTTTTTCTTTTTCATTATTTTGATGTCGCATTATAGAAGTATTACAGCCGAGTCCTTGTGGATTCAAATTTCTTATTGATATTTGAATATGTTATATTTTCTACTTTCTTCTCTGTTTTAAACTTGTAACTCTATCACGATCTATTGTCACTCAAGCACTAATAAATTCTCTACCGTTCACGACTCTTGATCCAATACTTTGTTCAGGCTCACGTGGTTCTCTTTAGATGGAAATACGATTTCAGTAATATTCAACAACCTGTACCAAAAGTAAACTGAATTTTCTTTGGATCGATCAATAGCTCAGTTCAACGATGTCAAAAGCTTATTTTGTCGTGTAGAGGGAGTTGCAGCAATCTTTTTTCTTTTCCAAGTCCCATGCGACCCAATGGCTAATAAAACCGACACATAAAACACAGCGCCAAATATATGTTAAATGGAAGCACCGGTCATCTTGGCTCAACTGGACAGAATCCTTTTTTACAACTAAAACAGACCGTGCTGAGATAAGTTATGAGTTACGCGGCTGATGCCTTTGTTTACACAGAGACCATAATTCGATTTGTAAACACTACGTGCCCGCGAAGCGCATTCCACAGATTTATACATTTATTCATTCATGGCGGCTTGAAATTTACCGTTGTTTGTAGAAACCCCGGGCGTTCCGCAAGCCCTTCTAACTCCACCTGGGAGAAATCCAGAGTTTAGCTGGGGACACGAGCGGCCTGAGCCAGGCCTTTCTGGTTACATGCAACGTCCGGGTATTGGCTTGTTATCCTAGGTTCCTCATAGCCAGATAAGACGTCATTGCCTTTCTATTGGAACCGACCCAAAGCAATGTTCCCAAACGGCACCGCCCGACCCCCTCTTATCCCCGGAGATTAACTCCTTATAAGGCTGGTGACCCAATCCCATGTTAAACACGACTCAAGAACGGTTTATGTCAATAACAGACTTTATTTAAACCATTAATTGAGCGTATTCTCTATATATAGTATCCATCCTTACGAAAATCAATTTATTGACGTACTTGCCGTACTGCTCTGTAGCATATTACAATAGGCAAGTTATGATAAGCACCACTCGCATTCCATTGTTCGAGGAGTTCGACTGGCGAAGTGCGGGCAATATGATGTGCTAATATTGCTTTTCTTATTTGTTCTATCTATAGCTCGGCTAACTTCGTCATCGGGGGCCTGACGTTACAGAAGTAAGACGGCCAGCCATTGACGATATGGAATATTAACCAACCATGGTTCAAATTAAATCCCAGCCAATCAGAAGGCCCGTTACTACGCTACTAATTACTTGGAATGTACATTGAAATGGAGTGACGTTATTCGTGTATACCGTGACGTCAGAGGCTGTTCCCCAGGACCCGACTTACGATGGTTAAGAAATATATACTTGCGATGCTCCAATTTAGTGGGAGACTGTGCACGAGGCCCGAGTCTGTGACGGCGTGTGCAGGTAGCGGAGTTCACCATACACCCTGGCATCAGCTGGCTCGACTAGGAGGCGCACAGGTAAAGGCTTTCGTAGGGCAACCTGGAGCTGCCGACACACTCCTTGCCGTCGCAGCAGTCATCAGTTGGAGACAGTTCCAAATCTCTCCCGAAGGAGCAGACGACACAAGTATCCAAAGGTAAGATGTTTATTTTTAATCATTATATCATTAATAACGGGTTTGATAAACGGGGCAGGTCCCAGAAGACTGCTGCCTTGGGTTCGTGTGAACGCCTGCGAGTGACCTTAAATATATATCTACAGTCGAGTACTATTCTTTACGCTACAGGGCATCTTGATTGGAGACGCTTGATTAATTAATTATTTGACCTAGTTACGACCTTACATATGGCACTATGAAAGCCACACAGGTTCCGGTGCACCGGCTGTTGTAAAGAGTGGCTAATTGCTGGCTAATCTGGCCAATTAGCAGCAGCATTAACAATTGTTAAACAAATGCAGTTAGTGCTTTTGTTCCTAATGAACACTCAGCTTGGTATTGGTTTCTGACAGTGATCGACTGATTGTCAGATGACGAATATGGAGATATGTAAATCACGCGCATGCATATGCCATTCCAGATATTTTTATTTTTTCTTAAGTTTGAGGAATGTCAAAACAATTATCATACCGAGGGGGAGTTGGAATCTCCCCCTCATGATAAGGCAGAAGTGACTAAGGAGACGGATGCTATCTTGTGTTGGGGGATGCCATACGCTTCCAGAAATATTAGGCTTGGATTCTGTTACCGAGCAACAGGCAACTGGCAAAAGAAGCACGATACTTGGCATGTGTTTTATTCCTGAAGCAGCGGGGTTTAATTTTCAGGTTTCCATCATCAAATGGTTATTACTCCCTATCCCTCCCCACGTGTGGCCATTCCTCTTTGTCGTATCTGTTACAAATTGGAACAGAGAGAAATGCATACAATCTCTCTCACCCACGAGAAAAAACACACAAATTAACATGAGAGAAACAGATATAAAGTTCGAGATGAGGTCAGACCAGCAGATGGAGGGAAGGAAGGAGGGAAGGATGGGTGGATGTTTAACTTCTGGCCGTGATAGAAGAGGTGTTGGGAAATATCGTCTGCTAAGGTTCACCATTCCTCTTTAAGTATACTACAGACAATGTTATGAAACACGCGGGATAACGCTTTGAACCTCTGAAAATATAACTGGTCAAAAATATAATCGATTAATGGGCAGCATCTTTGCTTACGTCTTTCACCTTAGGAGGGCTTGAGGTAGACGACATTGACGTTTATTGAAATATCCAGCAATTGTCGATGTGACAAATGATGATGCCGCCGGTTTTGATGCTTTACGGCTGTCATTATAAAAAGTGTATAAATACATTGGAAACTACGACTCATGTGTATTATATTTCACTATTTTTGTAAAACTTTTTTATTTTATGTTTCTTTAACTTGATGTTAAAAGGTGTTATTTTAAAACACAGTTCAGAGAAAATAAGCTAACTCTATTATAATTCAATATATTATTATCATTTCAAACTACTTTGACTGATAAGTTGAAGAATTAATGGTACAAAAATTCTTGTTTTTCGCCCATGTTTTCGAAATGAGTTGTAGATTCTCTTTGGTGTTTGCTTACCCAAGTAGAAAATCCATACATCATATCTCACTGATTTAGCATCAATATTTACTTTACTTTACCAATGATTAAATGATTAGGTTTAATATAAAACAAAGGGATGTGCCATTAAGGTTTCGAGTGAGGGCACAATTGTTGAGATATACGATGTTATGGCATCATAAACGGTTCCTTAGACCAAAGTTGACAGCAGGTTACATGTCTTGTCTATCAACAGGATAGCGTTGCGGTTGTTCGATGTCCCGTGAATTTGTCACGGTGCAAAGCGTTTGTTATGGTTTCGACTGGAAAAGGTTACATTGGGTACAGGGACCGGGTCGCCATGTTGTGTCTGGCAGCTTGTGAACGACAGATGTGTCACCGCGAGCTGGATGACCTTGAATGACCCCAGTTGACCTCAATCAATCAATTTACCGCCGCCGCATGCGTCACCCGAACGCAAATACTGCTCGCCGTGTTTCCAATGATGTCAATGGCTCAGTTTTTCATTGTGAAAGCTCGCAGAGGCAGAGGAAATTATTCGAGCACTAAATCATAAGGTAATGAGGAGATCTCCGTTCGACTCGTCTTATTATCTTCTGGAAGAAAACCACGCATCACGCCAGTGCTTGCTTGTAATGTACTTAAAATTGGGAATGTTCATTGCGTGTGTTCTGCAGTGCAGGTATGAAATAGTGTGAAGAGGAAAGGGGCTCTGATATGTATCAGATAATATGGAGAACACACACTGAGTAATCTGTGCTTTGAAGTACTCTTCATCTCGTGCAGCTTTACTGCTCTGTCACATTGACCCGACTTACAAATGTGAAAATTCATACAGGAAGGAACGCTCTGAGCTCCCAATTAATTCTTGAATTAACTGAAAAATATGAAGCTCGAAGAGCTCGGTGACAGTGACGTTCACATCCGTAACTCAACTCTTGCTGTGTTCGACGGAGTCGTCAGTTACGAAGGACGCTGTGGAGAGCGGAGATCTAGCCAGCTAGCCTGAGCCAATTGCAGAGGAGATCTTTATGACAAAATCGCAGATTAAGGGCCTTGCACAGGAAATTTTAAATCTTCCAGATTATTTTTACATGGATGCCACTTGGAACTGATTAGAGTGAATTTGTAGCCTTACCCCAGGCTTCGAAATTATTGCCGGGAACCCCATTCAGCCCTGTCAGAAGCAATCCTATCGAACCCGAGCCGAGCCGCACCAAACATGGTGAGGCGAGGGGAAGAACTGGAAGTGAACCGAAAAGCCTGCGTTGTGTCTGCTCTGTTTCTGACTTAATGTAAACTTATCTTCTGACATCAACTTTTTGATCATCTGATCGTGGCAGGCGTTCCTACTGCCCCTCTAAGCTTATTGTGTCGGTAGCTTGAACTCGGAGTGAACTTGGTTTTGTGGACGGATAATTTGATAATTGGTCTGGTTTAGAGTCGGGGTCAAGCAAAGAATAAAGTTATTTTTTTCAAACTAGGTTATTTTGGAATTTTATAAAAGTTTGGGATTACTGGGGGGTTTTTAGTTTCAGGAGATGAATGGTAAAATTGTAAGATTGTCGGAAATGTCTTTTGTTTTCATACTAACTTAAAAAGTAAAAACAGTTATTTTACGAAAAAATTACTTATCCGATGAAATAGTGAATAAAAATACTCTATATTTTTCTTTTCTTCAAATCCTTGTGAGAGCATAAAAAAGCAAAAACAAGTAAAATGCCGTTTCAATCCATACCACCAAACACTACGCCACCACCTCACCCGAATTAGATTGAAGAAATAAGATGAATTAAAAAAAAAGATACAGCACCAAACAGAAAGAACAATAAAATACAAAAAAAGGTTAACATTCGTCATTTCCAGGAATACAGATCAACAAATATATGAACACTGAACACGTATTATATTTTCCCCGCAACGCAACACCTCTGGTTAAAAAGACATATATTTTCGCGTAATTAATGTGTCGATGCTGCCCGGCGCCCTGGGACGATGATTAAGGGAACGCAAACGAGCATCTCTGCGACCCCGGGTCAGGGATCAGGGGATAGTGTACATAACAAACGCGCTGATGGTCCCGTTAGCCAAAGTAAATGGGATGACTGAGTCAGAGGGCGAAATAAACTTTTGAAACCCTCTTGGCACAGACATTGTGATTTAGTGATTGGTTCTCGTAGCATTGTTTTCAGATGCATCTACCGGTATTACATGTACCTTATATTCACCATTTATTTGACTCTCTGTCTCCCTCTCTCTCAAATACTGTGATCCGGCATCGTATGCGTCACTCCTCGGATGTTATCGGATACCCCCCTGTCCTTGAACACTTATGCCTGCTTTTCACGCCTCCACGAGTGATAGCATTCTCGTGAAATCCAGTCTGACGCAAGCGCATTTCCCATTGGCAAATCCGTAAGACGATGTCGCGCGAATATAATCGCCTTTCTTAAGTCACAAGCTCTAGTACTACGCTATCAAATGTTTAACATAAACTGAAAGGTTAGAAGCGGATCATATCGTGAGGATGTGGTGCCGAAGGGATTCAAAGAAACTTATGTTCAAGGAAATCTTTAAATAAAAGGCTTTTGTTTTCAGCCTCCCCTATAGGTGGCGATCTTGGGATTACCAAACATAATTAGGCGAATTAAATTGCACAAGGAGTTGTTTAATGACAAAATTGTTTTGAAACATTGAAACAATTGTAAATGTAAAATGAAAGTCTTTGTCTTTGTCTGTGAATTCACTCCATACAAGCAGAAGACTAGTGGGTACATAATAAACTATATCACATGTTTATAACGTTGCATCTTAAAGATATGTCAGAAAACGATACCACACAATACCGCCCTCAATATACTATATGCCAATTTGTTAAATAGTGATCAGTGAGAGAGACTTAGGTGGTATATGGTAATATCATAAAGTGATTTCAATACTAAGACAGCAAAGCAGAAAGATATTTGAAAGGTATAGAGGCGAACAACCCGGTTTTAAGGGTATTGGTCAACGGCCCAAGGGAATGTATATTATATGTAAAAAAAGAACTAAGGAAATTATAGTCAATTTAAATCACTCGACGTTCTCAGCATAGTCTCAACCATGCAATAAAAGGAAACCAATGCATACACGGATAAAACACTATTGCAAAAGATTTTACAAGATTGGAATGTCTTTTGTGGGAATTCTATCTTGCATTCGACTTTTTGAGGCACTGTTTTATATGCTAAACATTTGCAACTGTTAATTTTATCAAAAGCAGTAACTAAAGAGAATAAATTCAAACTTACATCAACATGACACACATTGAATGCAAAATATGCTTTAAAATACATGTAGAAAGACACGTGACGCACCTACATGAAGTGTGAAATGGTTTAATAAACAAAAGATGAAAAACCGCACGCCCCTTCAGCATCATGAACAAGACAAATGACACTGCACATGCTTACAGTGAAATCTTTTCTAGTTTTGTAATATTTATAAGATGTGGATTTGAAACTCAATGGAACTTACTTTACATGAAATAAACGAAGGTGCG